GTTTTGTGAGAGAATAAGAACAATTAACTATAAACGGCAAAATCTCAGAAATGGACGTTGTTAACGATCTGATATGAGAGTTTGTTATGACGCAATTGACAAGGGAATTTGGTTATTTCTGCAACACCTAACAGTTTGATAATCAGAGTATCAAGTGACGACCTTATTACCAAGACATATTAAAACTTTAAGAATTTTATATGTATATTTGAACAGTTATAGCATTTATCCAAGCAATATGGTTCACCATTATCTGCTTGGGTTCTTTTCAGGTAACTTAACATACGAAACAAACAAGCCTAATTGGTCAAAAAGACTTCATTTACAATTTAAATCTTGGGGAATCTGTTAAAACCTTCGAAGGTTATAAAGCACATGTGTAAATAGGATTACAGATCATTACAAAACTTAAAAGTTAGCTATTTATTTAATAAAGGTGGCAATAAGAGGTTCAAAGGCAAATATGCATGTAGGGTTGTATAGTTACTAGCAAAACTTAGTTCCTTTAGCAGTGAGAAGTTTTAACTAAGTAATCAAAGACCTGATAAAGACAAAACATAAGCTTGGCTTTCCGGGCAGACCGAAAGACCTTTGTTTACATTTCTTATTAAGAGCAGATCAACAATCCAAGAAAACTATCTTTTGAACAGAGAGAAAAGCAGAATTTCAGTCCTATACCAGTGTGTTTTTATTTAAAAAAATGTTTTTTAATGTTTTATTTATTTCTGAGAGAGAGAGATAGAGACAACATGAGCAGGGGAGGGTCAGAGAGAGAGGGAGACATAGAATCCAAAGATATAGGCTCCAGGCTCTGAGCTGTCAGCACAGAGCCCGATGTGGGGCTCGAACCCACAAACCGTGAGATCATGACCTGAGCTGAAGTCGGATGCTTAACCAACTGAGCCAGGCGCCCCTACCAGTGTGCTTTTAAAATCCATTTAATTTAGGGGTGCCTGGGTGGCTCAGTCGGCTCAGGTCATGATCTCTAGGTTCACAAGTTTAAGCCCCGCATCGGGCTCTGTGCTGACAGCTTGGAGCCTGCTTCACATTCTGTGTCTCCCTTTCTCTCTGCCCCTCCCCCGCTCACTCTCTCTCTCTCTCAAAAATAAACATTAAAAAAAATTAAAATCCATTTATTTTAACCTTAGTCCATCCTGACCACACATAAAATTCCTTTCCAAAGTTTTCGTTCACAAACCTTCTACAACTTTCCTTCGCATTCAGACTTTGTCCCAAGCCATTTTTCTCCAAACAACCCAGTGTCACTTTGATGAGGGAGTGTGGGGCAGGCTGAGGGCAAAATACGGGATGGCACGCCCCCCCCTCCCCCCCCCCGCCGTGGGATCTGTGTGATATCCCTCGGACACTCCCTGCTACCCAAGAACAAAGGAAAGAGGGTTAAGTGCTTGCCATTTTGATGTGGGAAACTGAGGCAAATGGAAAATTAAATTCCCATACTGCCTACAGCCCATTGATAAGTCCCTGAAATGGGCAGAGTGACCTCCCTCTAGGAGCTCAGCTGCCTCGATGAGGACACTTGGCCGGGGGCAAAAGGGAACCTTGGCTTAACATTGTCCCAACCTCGAGGACCTGGAAGTCTACTTCCTTCATCTCAACTGCCCCAGGATATAGGCTGAGGATCAGGCTCCCGGCTTATTCCACCCCCCCACCCCCCACCCCCACCCCTATGCACCTGAAGGGTCTCAGGACTGAGGTTTTATTAACCGGCAGTAAATGGCGGTTCCCTAGCAACAGCTGGCCCCTCACGGTCCTGGAAACCTTGCTTCCAGAATTCCTTAGAGACTCACTCCCTCCCTGACCCCCTCCCCACCTGGGGGTAGATAATGGGTTACCCGTCAGGACCCCAGGGCAGCTAATCCTGCCCACGGGACCTGTCCCCGCGCTTTCATAAAATCACCTTTTTGCACCAAAGACGTCTTCAAAATTCTCTCTTGGCCGTCGGCTCCGGACCCCATGAATCCCCCATCACCCCCAAGCTCCATCAACATGGGTATACCAGTGTGTCCTGAGCATGCTGTCACCGTGTAGCTTTTCAGTGGGCAAAAGCTTGCTGGCATATAAACTAAATCTCAGGGAACTGGAAACGTCATAATTTACGAAGACATAGAATGTAGCATAGCTGAGGAGCATGCAAAAAAAAGTGCTCAATGCACACAGCAGATTTTTCAAGCAAAACAATTATGGAAGAAATAGCCGAGATTGCAGTGTCTTTGCAGACGTATTCTCACAGCATCCAAACAAATGAGCCACAAAAGCACTGCCTGCTCTGGGAAAAGACTGAGAGTTGTTTTCCAACCGACAGAAAGATGTGTTGAAAGATACCGAGATGCAGACAACATCATGTCCATGAACTTCAGCAGCCCTCTTCCAAATGACGGCATGCTCTCGGAAGTGGCAAAAGCTCAAGAAATAAGCACCCCCATCGCTTGCAGGGGCGCACGTTTTTAACGGGCTCATGTCTCAAAATGCTCGTGACCATAAAGATGGCTGCATGATCTCACTGTGTTTGGAATTTGCTTTGCTCCTAAGATGAGCATTTCTGTGGAAAAATGTTTTTCCCTTTGGAATATCTAATGTTTTCTGGTCATGTTTCTTCAGTAACGATCTGATTTGATTAAAAGTGTTTTCTTTCTGGGCCACCAGGCTGGCTCTGTCGGTAGAGCCTGTGACTCTTGATCAGGGGTCATGAGTAAATGCCATGTTGGGCAAAGAAATCACTCTAAAAATGCTTTTTTTCTGAAACTTTAAACATAGGAACCATCACTGAAAAATATTCCATGAAATGATTTTAAGCAGAGCATATCTGTATTCGTTAATTTTATAGGTATTGTAGGCAGGTTTAGGCAGGTTTTAAACTGGTTAAATTGTTTGAAAAATAAGCTGAGGGGCACCTGGGTGGCACGGGTGGTTAAGCGTCTGACTTGGGATCAGGTCATGATCTCGCAGTTTGTGGTTTCAAACCCCGCATCGGGCTCTGTGCTGACAGCTAGCTCAGAGCCTGGAGCCTGCTTCCGATTCTGTGTCTCCCTCTCTCTCTGGACCTCCCCTGCTCACGCTGTCTCTCTCTCTCTCAGAAATAAATTTTAAAAAACATTAAAAAAATAAAAGCTCAAAATTCTGAGAAAGGGGAGTTCCTAGCATGTCCATAAAACCACAGATCAACTTTTTAAAAACTGTCGCTTAATATGCTTTAGTTCCAACATCGCTCTAACGTTTGATGAACGTAGCTGTTAACCGTACTATTGGTATGTCCTTCTCTCTCCCTCCTCTTTTGTTCTTTAGGAAAATCATTTTCATATGATGAATTTTATTGATAGTGTAGAGTTGTTTGAGGTATAAAATTATACTGATGGAGACGTGTCAAAGGACACATGTCCCTGTGACTCCATTGCCAGAAATGTGACAGTTTGATCATAAAAGGAAAAATGAGTGCAATTGAGTGAAACACTATGAATATACAGACACTCACAAGTTATTATTAAAAACATTTATGAGGGGCGCCTGGGGGGCTCAGTCAGTTGAGCGGCTGACTCTTGATTTCAGCTGAGGTCATGATCTCACTGTTCATGGGTTCGAGCCCTAAGGCACGCCCAGCGCTGATAGCATGGAGCCTGCTTGGGATTCTCTCTCTCTCTCTCTCTCTCTCGCTCTCACTCACTCCCTCTCTGTCTAAAAATAAATAAAACACAGAAACATTTATGAGACAATTACGGGAATCTGAACATCGACTACATATTTGTTTCCATTAGGAAAGTATTAACTTTTTTAGGTGTGATAATGACAACGTGGTTATGTCATAAAAAAGCAATCCTTATCTTTTGGAGATGTGTTTTTGAAGCATTTATGACTAAAATGACACACCACCAGGGATTTATCACAAAATAATCCAAGGCTGGGGTTGGTGAGAGTGAGGATAGGAATGAAACACTACTGGGCATCTAATGCGAATTCTCCAAACTGAGAAAATCGTTTGTCTACTTTTTTTTTTTAATTTATTTCTGAGAGAGAGAGAGAGAGAGAGAGAGAGAGAGAGACAGTGTGAGGCAGGGGAGGGTCAGAGAAAGGAGGAGCTACAGAATCTCAAGCAGGCTCTGGGCTCTGAGCTAGCTGTCAGCACAGAGCTTGACCTGGGGCTCGAACCCATGAACCGTGAGATCATGACCTGAGCCGAAGTCGGATGCTTAACCGACTGAGCCACCCAGGCGCCCCTCGTTTGTCTACTTTTGAACACATTGGAAAATTTCCATGATAAAAACATGGGAACAATCCCATGAGTTCAGATTCCAGAGTTGAGTTTATACTCACAGAAGAAAAAGACAAAAATGAAAAGTAGTAGTGAAAACAATCTTGAAAATACATCGGACAACACCAAAGTAATTAAGGATTTCTTCCCCCTTACTCTAGAAATTTCTCAATTAAAGGGGAAAAAATGAAACATTTACCTTGCCTTTTGTGTATGAGCTGAATTTTTGGAGAACCCGAGTAGCCAATACTTGATAAGAGGAAGCCCTTCTTTGCAGAAGCATTCCAGTTAATAAATCTGACAAAAATGTTCACATGAGAAAGTCACTGCTTGTATTCCTTAGTGCAATGATTGATTCGCACAAGGACCATCAAAAGGTGGAAATTTGGTGAAATTTATGAGAGGGTTTGGGTTTTCCCCTTCTAGACCCTCCCCCTCCCAACATCAGCGCCACTAAAAAGATAAATAACCCGGGCTCCTGGGAGGCTCAGTTGGTTAAGTGTCCGACTTCAGCTCAGGTCATGATCTCGGGGTTCGTGGCTTCAAGCCCCGCGTCGGGCTCTGTGCTGACAGTGTGGAGCCTGCTTGGGATTCTCTCTCTCCTCCCTCTCCGGCCCTCCCCTGTTCACATGCTCTCTCTCAAAATAAATAAATAAACATTAAAAAAAAGCTTGAAAAAAAGGGACATGTGAGAATCACAGAAAATCCTATTTGCATACACAAGGTTTACAGTATAGATTATTTATTCAACAATAAATGAAGTTCAGGTTCAATAAGACCAGCCGGCAGGTGGGGAAGATGGTTTGAAATGAAATTTTCTTACAATGAACCAAAGACATAGGAAATAACAGAAGGAAATAGTTAGCTACTCTCTGCCCGCGACTACCTTTGGCATGGTCTAGAATCCTTGGAAATATTTGCTAGCGCATCCTGCTAAAACTTCTCACACATGCTCGGCAATCTTGAATTTGGAAAGCCAATGCAACCAGGCCCTTATATTCCTGAAGTTCGAGGATGCACTTGGTGAAATATGGGGTGTTTGTAAGAGATGAAAACTAACCCACTCAAGAGCATCATGATGCCACCCAGGCATGCCACCAAAACGGCACCGCCGAGCTCCTGGGTCTCAGGCTTGAAGGGTATAGAGAGAGACGGCGGGAAGGCAATACCCTCTTCCCTCCCCACAGACTGGTAATTCCAGACCACAGTGATCGAGACGCACACTCCAGCAGCTATGTTCAGAATTCCCGAGGCCACGAATGGACCGAAGGCGGCGTTCTTCTGAAGGGTTCCGATGTACAGATTTCTAAGTGCAAAGATGACAGAGGCTCTCCCCAACAGACCTAGGATGCTGGCGACCAGCAGGAGATTTTGAGAAATGCGGATATCCAAAGGGAGGTAGGTATCACGGTAGGTATAAGGTTGACACAGCGCGACTCTGTTGGTGTTGCTGACATGCTGGTAGATGCACATCTTCCACATTCCCACACAGACCACGCTGGAGGGAAAGAGAGGGGAGTTCTCCGTGTGCCACACTCGCCACTCCACGAGGCCCATGGACGTGGTGACGAGGATCCATCCTACGGTGGCTGTGGTGAAGCCTGCCAGTTGGCGGTTGTAGCTGCACGGAGGCAGGACCATGGAGGCTGCTTACTGGGGGTCTGCAAACAAATATAGAGCGTCATGGGGGGGGGGGCTCCTGGGCTTGGAAGAGTGCCCTGTCCGCCCCCCACCGTGTGGTAAGCGGTGCTATGTTTGAGACCGGAGCCATCGACATTCATGGCCTGCCGGTGGGAGCACAGACTGAGCGCACCTGGTAGAGGGCCATTTGGCTTCAAATGGGCAGACTTTCACACAGGCAGTTCCATTTCTGGGCCTTTGCCCAAAGAAATAATTCAGATTGGGCCACCGATATTTAGTCGTCCACTATTCATAATACTAAAAAAATGGGAAAGGAGTTCAGGTCTCACAATGGGGCTCGGTTCGATAATTCATGCTACGGCCGTGAAATGGAACTATCTGCTGGCATGAAACATATAACCCGGGTACAACAAGGTGGACTGTTTTGTGCTCGGCTCTGTTCATTTTGTAGAGTGGTTTCAAGTTTCACCCACGGTGTAGCCTGCGTGAGTAGTTTCTTTGGATTGCTGAGTCCTAGTCAACTGGACGGATGCTTATTCTTCCCTCAGGTTTTGGACATTTGGGTTGGCTCCAAGTTTGGGCTCCTGTGGGGCTGCTCTAAGTATTTCTACGTAACACTCTGGACGGGCCTACGTTCCCCTTTCTCTCGAGTAGGTCCCTCAGGAGCGGGACTAGTGCGGCGTCTGATAAGAGGGTGTTGAACTTTTCAGAAAGCGCTCAACCATTTCCCCAAGTGGCTACACTATTCTGCCTTCCCACCGGCAGTGCGCGAAGGCTCCAGTTTCTCCCCCTTTTCCAACATTTCACGGGTTCCCAGTCTTCTAGATTGCATCCATTCTTGTTCCCAGTAAAACATAACGTAACCAAAAGGAAGACTGTTGCCCATGTATCAAGCCCAAACGGGAACTTATGAAATAGTCCATATAAAGTCACCATGTATCTAAACACAACTGGAAGTCAATGCTTGCTAAGGTAGTAAGAGATGTTTTTAACTGGGTTAGAGTTTTTAAGGCTCTTTGTATTGTGAAGAATCACATCGAGACAAAATCTAAGGTGAACAGCTCAACTGTCCCGGGGCAATAACCCCATGGGCGCCACGTGGTGGAGGACAGATAACGGAATCACTTCTGTCTTCTTATCCTTCATATCCTTATCGTCTTCACAGGGCTCTACCGCAGCATGCATGCCCATACGTGTTGCTTCAATTCTGCCGGTTTTTCGAAACAGGGACCCTGCACTAGATGTTCCTCTGTGCCTGGCTTCTTTCACTGAACACTGTGCTTATGACCTTGGATTGTGACTTTTTAAATGATATCTGGCTGTTCCAGCTTTCTAGGTATTTCTGGCATGAGCATGATTTATTCTTTTAATAAAAACAATACAAAAGACTGTATTAAGGTTGCAAAGCAATGGAGGATAGATTAATTCTGGTACATAAATACTCTGGAAGAACTCGTATCCGCACCCCCCTGCCCTCCCCGGAGGAAACCCCACACACCTCGGGGATATCAGAATACCTTCTGTGGTTCTGTCCAGAAACTTACCTTTTGCCAGAACCCTCGGCCTTTGCAAACATCCCCAAGACCACAGCGGCACCAGCGAGCAGAAGCCGACAGAGGGCCTACCGCTCAGAACGTCTGTAGTTCAGAGCCACATGGGGCCTCCAGAAGAGTCACCTCTGCCCGTCCCACCCCCCAGAGTCCGATCTGCAAGTCAAATTGAAGACCTGTACCTTAGGTGTGCACTGGGTCTGAGACTAGAAGAAATTCCTTCATAATTCACATTCCTTTCCTATTTTATTTTATTTTTTGAGGGGGGGTAGGGGCAGAGAGAGCGGGATGGGGGGAGAGAGACTCCCAAGCAGGCTCCTCGCTGTCACCGCAGAGCCCAATGCAGGGCTCGAACCCACGAACCGTGAAGTTCATGACCTGAGCCGGTCAGATGCTTAACTGACTGAGCCATGGAGGCGCCCCAATAATTCACATTCTAGACTATTATGTCATTTCTAAATGGAAACTCTGACAGTATAAATGGAAGCATAAAGCAAGATCAAACGTAAGCAAAAAATGCCATCATCGTATGCACTTAATGACAGTATTGAGTATCAAGTCATTTTTAGAAATTAAAGAATCTTGAGGCACCTGGGTGGCTCAGTCAGTTAAGCACCTGACTCTTGACTTCAGCTCAAGTCATGATCTCACAATTCAAGAGTTCGAGCCCTGCATCAGGCTCTGTGCTGACAGCCCGGAGCCTGGAGCCTGCTTTGGATTCTGTGTGTGTGTCTCTCTCTCTGCCCCTCCCCCACTTGCACTCTGTCTCTCTCCAAAACAAACATTAAAAAAAAAAAAAAACCCGAATGAAAATGTAGGGCGGAAACCCTCCCCCCTCCTCCTGGTTCTCTGTGTTTACAGATTCACCACCTCTGAATATCTCATATGAACAGAATCCTACAATATGTGGCCTTTGGGTCTGGCTGCTTCCACTCAGCATAATGTTTTGAGGGTTCATCCACAGATATATTAGTACTCCATCCCTTTTCATGGCCTAATGATACTCTACTGTATAGATACACTATGCTTTATTTAGCAGGTAATGGACAGTTGGGTTTTTTCCCCTTCTGGGCTATGAATGATGCTACTCTGAACATGAATGTGTGATTCTGTGTGGACGTGTTTTCATTTCTCTTTGGCAGGAATGGAATTGCTGGGTCATGAGGTAACTCTATCTCTAACACTTCGAGGGCCACCAAATTGTTATCTTAAGTAGCTGCACCATTTGCTAATCCCACCAGCAATGTCTAAGGGCTCAAATTTCTCCACTTCCTTGTAACACTTATTACTGCTCGTCTGTTTTGCTTTTGATTATTGTGTATATGGAATCACGATGTGTGCTCAGTGTAAAGGAACCTTAGGTGCAAGGGGCACTTTAAGAATGAGCCTAATTGTAGTTTTCTGGTTGTTTTCTGGCCTCGCAAAGCTTAAGACACAACTATTCTTACTAGTCTCTGGCTCATAACCTGAATGTGACTTCCCTCCTTTGCATTTAACAGAGCTTTATGAACTCTGAAATATGCTTTCCCCAAGATGGGCAACCTTCTGATGCAGTGTTCAAGCATGTGCCGGCTTGCCGTGTGCAACGTGTACCTGACGCTTGCCTATTGCCTGAGTTCCACTGTGTCTTTGGTTCAGATTAAAAAGTCTTTTTAAAAAATTTTTAATTTTAGAGGAGGGGGAACAAGTGAGCAAGGGGGAGAGAGACAGAGAGAGACGAGAGACAGAGAGAGAGAGAGAGAGAGAGAGAGAGAGAGAGAGAGAACCAGGGCTTCTTCCCTGAAGTGAGGCTTGTGCTTACCTGGTGTGGGACTCGAACTCACGAACCGTGGGATCATGATGTGAGCCAGAGTCAGATGCTTAACGACAGAGCCACCCAGCCACCCAGAAAGTCTCTATTTCCAAGGGTAGAACGGATGGCAGAGATAGGCAGCTTATTTATTTATTTTCACCAGACAAGGAGACTAAGTTTGAGGACTACACATGTTGGCTAATTGGAGAACATAAAAGAGAAAAGGGGAAGTAGATTGAGCGGACACGTGCAGAGAAGCAGCCGCAGGAGACATGGGCCTGTGGGTATGTAAGACGGACTTGAAACAGGGCAACAAAATACCAATAAAATAAATAGCAATAACCTCAACCCACCCTCTGCCCTCCCCCCACCCCCCTCCGCCATGAGGTGGTATCACGATGCCGTTACAACCATGTCCCAGTACAAAGGCTGGAGAATGAAGAGAGCCCCAAAGGGTTCTAACTGGGATCACGTGGCCCGATGGGAAGGGCCCGCCCCTTCCCCCTTCCCCCTTCCTTAGTCTTCACCGCTGAGTAACACTGATGTGGTGCCCCTCGAATCCGAGTCACAAGAGATCAGGACCGGGCATGAAAATGTGAAAGCAACGAACATCGTGGATAGTGAGCGAAACAAACACTCGTGTGGCTGAGGTGTCAAAACACAATAGAAGAGGGACTGAGAAAACACGACACACACTCAGAAAATGAAATGTGGAATTACCCGGTGACCCAGCAACCCCACCTCTTACCACTGACCCAACATTAGTGACAGCAGATGCCTGCACCCCCACGTTCAGGTAGTGGCTTTCATGCTCACCAAGAGATGGACACCCAAATGTCTGCCCGTGGACAGCTGGAGAGAGAAGAGGTGGTCTCTCCACACGATGGAATATTTATCAGCCTTGACGAGGAAGTTCTCACACCTGTCCCAACATGGATGAACCGAGAAGACCTTATGCTGAAATAAGCCAGTCCCCAAGTCACAAATACTGTGATTCCACTCACACGCAGCACTCAGAGTAGTCCCGTTCACAGGGACAGAAAGCGGGACAGCAGGTGCCAGGGGCTGGGGAAGACAGGAACGGGACAGTTAGTGTTTCATGGAGACAAGGCTTCAGTCTGGGGAGATGAAAACGTCCTGGAGACGGACGGTGGTGTGGACCGAACATTTTAAGCGTCCATTGAACCGCACCCTTAAATCATGGCAACATGATCAAGATTATGTCCTATTTCACCACAATAAGGCACACGACAAAGAAGGCCAAACCTCCACTGTCCAGTGACGCAGTCTCCACCTCGACGGAAGTCTGGGCAGGAGGGTGCCCAGCTGCTGGGTCAGCCGCGCAGAGGCTCAGGCTGTTCGTCTCTAGCACAGCGTCCTTGCTTGTCCACGGCCGGCCCCCGGGCAGGGCAGACAGGAGCGCTCAGCCACCTAGCGGGTCTGGTGCTCGGTCTGAAGGCCCTCTCCTCTCCTCAGCCTTAAACTCTGAGCGTGCTCTGTCACCCATTGTCCACACCTTCCAAGTTCTAGGTTGCCAGGTCCCGAACGGCAAGGCAACGTTTGTTTTGTAACTGATCACCGCGCCTCTTTGGTTTCTTTTCTTCATCATATATCCTCTTTGTCTATCATTTTGGTTGTTGTTTTCATTTTGTTTTAGGAGCGGGGGAGTAATGTTTATTAATGGACCATCAAAGTCCACTTTTAAGATGTATCTGATTCAGACCTGTCCCCTACTCATTTTCTCTCCTGTCCCCCAGAAATGGTATCTAACCCACACCATCGGGAAGTAATGACATTTTTTTAAAAGCTATGGCAGCACCAGGGCACCTGCGTGCCTCAGTCGGTTGAGTGTCTGACTTCGGCTCAGGCCACGATTTTGCGATTCACGAGTTTGAGCCCTGCATCGGGCTCTGTGCCGACAGCTCAGAGTCTGGGGCCTGCTTTGGATTCTGTGTCTTTCTCTCTCTGCCCTTCTCTGTTTGTGCTCTCTCTCTCTCAAAAATAAGTAAGGATTAAAACAAAAATTTTGATTAAAAAAAGCTACGGCAACATATATGTGCAGGTATTAGCAGAAGCGGTAGCCACAAGGGCAAGATTCAGTTGTGAAAGCCCATGGACATCTGACACATTAGGAACGAAACCCTTAATTCATGGGAAAGGACCTCCTTCTAGTTGAGGCTTGGATTACAGGCTTGTTGACACACAGTCCACGTGGGGAAAACAGTATGGTTCTGGGGGAGACGGACCCACATCCCTCCTGTCTGCGCGCCCCCTCTCCCCCCGGGGTGAGAAGTCCTGGCTCCGGCTGGACAGTTGGAGGCCCTGCCGGCTCTGGCCTTGACCTTTCTCTCCTTCTGTCGTGAAGTGACCCACGCTGTGTGTCTGCTAGTCTCCCCTTCACCCCGAGGTCTCAGGCGACTGGATCTGAGCTGTAGTTTCCGGGTGGCGGCGCCTGCCGGGTGAGCGAGCGCACTCTGCAGGTACAAAGCCTCGGTCCTGTGGAAACACTCCTGTGCCTGCCAACGGCCGGGCCCCGTGACAGCCCGTGAGCGGGGGTTAGGGCTGAGCCGGAAGCCCCGACAGCAGAGGGGCCCGTGTCCGCCCAGCACAGCCCACGCGTGGTCGCGTTACCCTGAGGCCGGAAACTGGCTCAGGGCTCCCCGTTCCTTACTCACTGGGGTCTCTAGATTCCTGTCGTGGGCAAGATACGTCAAGGTGAGGGTGGGGGTGGGGAAGAGTCCTTTCTAGAATTTTCCTTCAGTAGGTTTGCAGTTCACCCTACGATTTTTACCGTGAATGGGCCACTTTTTAGTTTTCTCTCTGCTCACTTCTCTGGGGGACGTTTTGGACCGAGACGGGGTCTTCTGTTACTTTAACTCTGCCTGAAAGACCCCTCCCCCCCAGGGTTTGGTGAAAGGTGGCCCAAGGCACCAACCCGGCGGTCCCACCCCTCACTGCTTCCACCAGGCGCTTATGACCCTGACTTGCTCTCCCTGTTCGACCTGGTGATTCTCACTTAACTCCGACCCAAGAAACCACGTGAAGCTGCTTAGCGGGACCGGTGGGTGACCCCGTGCGGGAGCTGCTCGGTGCCAGCCTGCCCGGGCGCTGGCAGGCCTCCTCCCCGGGCGGACCCGGTGCCACCGCGGCCGGGTCCCACGCTCCTGACACCCAGGCAGGGCCTGAGGCTGGCTGCATGGCGCTGATCGCTGCTTCGAGCTTGCTGGCGACTTGCTTCTCTCCCCTGTCATTTTGTGGCCATGGTGGCGTCTGGGCCCTGCGCCCTCAGCCCGTACTTCAGCGGACCCTGGACTCTACCCCTTCCTTTTGTCCCTCACGTGCAACTTTCATTTCACTTTTGTAGTTTATTTTAACTCTTTGTATCACAACACGAAGTTTAGTCGCGTGTATGGACACAGGCTTGGGAGGGTGGGGCCTCTGTCCTCCGCTGTGACCTGTTTTACTCACAAATAAAATTTCTTTAAGCAGTTTCCTTTTTTTTTTTTTTTCGGCACTAAGTCAAGTTCTTTACTTCCCAGAAGTGATGGCTAAGAGGGTGGGGTGGGGGTGGGGAGGAAGACAGAAAGAGCCAGAGAGAGCGAGGAGGTAGGAGGAGAGGGGACAGTAAACCACTGTTCTATGAAGTCTCAAGAGGCAAGTGCTCGAGGTAAAAAAGTCCTGGAGAATCGTCCGCGGCTGAGGGAAGCATCTCGATTTCCTTCTGTGTAGAAGTCCTTGGGAAAGGCTGCCGCCGCTGCCGCTGCATTAAATAGTTATGTACATCGCAGAGTCCCGGGCCGGAGGCAGGCGGGGGAAGGGGGTCATTTCACCAGGGGCCGAGTTTTACCATCATCGCTGCACTGATGGTGTACTTTTTCACCTCTGCCATGTACTTGGCCCACGCGTCACCTTTACTTGTTAATACCTCACCCTCCGTCTTCTGCTTCTTGGCTACTATTCCCGTCTTGAGGGCTAGCTTGTTCCCGCCTCTGCGCTTGCCCACGAAGCTGAGCGTAGGGCCCGGGCCGCCCTTCCTCTTCAGATGCGGCGGCGGCGGCCCGGGGGCGGCTCCTCCTGCCGCTGCTCCTCCTCCATCTTCCACTTGAACAGCTCCAGGCAGCTGCCGTCGTTGGCGAACAAGTTCACACCATCCGACACCGGGCTAGAACCCGCGCCCGACGCTTCCTCGTCTCTGCTCTCGGGCGACGTCCCGGGCCCAGACTCAGCGCATCGGCTTCCGACACTGACACCGGCTTCCACCCAGTGCTCATCCCAACACTTGGCGTATTTTACTTAGTATAACATTCTCTAGTTTCATCCACATTGCTGCAAATGGCAAGCAATACCTGTGTGGCACCTACACAGGCCCCTTACAACATGGCATCGTCTACTCTGGAGGTTCATCTGATATAGTCTGTGATCTGTTGGGAGCAAAGGGCAAGGACATGTATACAAATATATGCAGGATATACATATATATATGTGCCATGCATATGTATATATAACATGCATGTATGTGTATATATATACATGTGTATAATGTGTACACATTACATTACATATAAACATACACATACGCTTATATGGCCAGAAAACTGACACCACCGGCCGGGCGGGGCTGGGAGCGCAGCTGGACGAAGACGGGGACTTGGACACGGAGAGGAGACCACGGGCTGCTTCGGACCCCGAGCCAGCAGGGCCCCCGAGAGACAAGGTGCATCTTATATATACACATATATAATATACACGTATATATACATGTACACGTATATATATATGTATACGTATATATGTACGTGTATATATATATGTACACGTACATATATACATGTATACAACATGACAAATGTTGTCTCTTATAGTTGGCGAAGGCCAAGTTGCCTGTCTGCTGCAGCAGCTGCGCTCGCTCCTCCGCCAAGCACTCAGGCTCGCGCCTCAGCCGCTCAACTCCCGGAGGTAGCGGCCCACGTCGGGCCGCTCCCGCCACTGGGCCTCAGGGAAGCGGTCCCAGAACAGCGATGCCAGGAACCCTTCATCCTCCACTTCCCCGAGAGCCGCCGCAGTGGCAGTCGCTGTGTAACATGTAGAGCAAGTCATCTTGCTACTGCTCAAAATCTGGAAGTCCCGCTCGTGTGCCGGCATTTCAGGGAAGAGCCAGGTCCTGTTTGCGGTGGTGTTCACGGCCTGCTACCTGGACCTCTTCACCAACTACATCTCCCTGTACAACACGTGCATGAAGGCAGTCTACATTGCCTGTCCCTTCACCACAGTCTGGATGATTTACAGCAAGTTCAAAGCCACTTACAACGGGAACCATGACACCTTCAGGGTGGAGTTCCTCGTCGTTCCCACAGCCATCCTGGCGTTCCTGGTCAACCATGACTTCACCCCTCTGGAGATCCTCTGGACCTTCTCCATCTACCTGGAGTCGGCGGCCATCCTGCCACAGCTGTTCATGGTGAGCAAGACGGGCGAGGCGGAGACCATCACCAGCCACTACCTGTTTGCGCTGGGGGTCTACAGCACGCTCTATCTCTTCAACTGGATCTGGCGCTACCACTTCGAGGGCTTCTTCGACCTCATCGCCCTGGTGGCAGGCCTAGTGCAGACTGTCCTCTACTGCGATTTCTTCTACCTCTACATCACCAAAGTCCTGAAGGGGAAGAAGCTGAGTTCGCCGGCATAGCCCTGGGCCTGGCCGTCCCTCTCCTTGGCAGCCCGCAAGAGGCAGAGGAAGGCAGCGAGAAGACACGAGCCTTCCCGTCCTGTCCAGGGGTGACTTTTTAAAAGAACCAACCTCTCCGCGCTCCCCAGCCCCCCTCCTGCCGGGTTTCAGGGGGGACAGCGGAGAACCCAAGTCTTGGGGAACTCAGGACCTGGGCTGTTTGTAGTTTTTTGCCTTTTAGAGAAGAAAAAAAAAATCTTTCCACTATTTAGTTTTTGATTCCGAAGACTCCTTTTCTCTTCTACTCTCTGGCCCACCCGAGTTTTATAAACTGTTTTCGAGTGTCCCGTGGGGCAGGATGGGGTCCGAGATCTTTTCCCTCCCGCAAGCCCCTCAGCAACCTTCCAGATTCCTAATTTGTGAGAAATTGACCGAAGATTGGGAATAGCTTCAAATGGGGCTTCTGTAGACAAGAGATTACCAAAAAATCACATAATGTCAGCTAGCCAGCACTTAGGGGACTAGATTTTATCTAGAAGCCAAAATTCCACCAGAATTGCTTAGTGTTTCCATAAGGAATTTATCCCAAGAAAATGAGCAGAGATACTTACAGAGATGTAAGTGAAGCGCACACCCAATGACCTTTATAACCAAGGTAACGACTGGGAACAAATAGGAAAAATCCCATTCTGAGATGTGGTTAGTAAACTATTCAGCAACTTTATAGTGGGACATTACACAGCAATTCAAGGCAATGCTGACAAATAACTAGGGGAAAATTCCCAACACTGTTAAATAAAAAGATTTATTATTAATTTTTTTTGATGTTTTTATTTATTTTTGAGACAGAAAGCACGGGTTGAGGAGGGGCAGAGAGAGAGAGAGACAGGAACTGAAAGGGGCTCTCTAATGACAGCAGAGAGCCTGAGGTGGGGCTCGAACCCAGGAGCTGTGAGATCAAGACCTGAGCCAAAGTTGGACACTTAACCGACTGAGCCACCTAAGCACCCCTATCTTATTTTATTTCTTAAGAGAGAGAGAGAAGCAGGGCTCACCCAAAGCGGGGCTTGACCTCCCCCAATGTGGGACTCGAACTCTTGAGCTGTGAGATCGTGACTTGAGCCGAAGTCAGATGCTAAACAACTGAGCCACCCAGGCGCCCTACATAAAGACTTTTAACCACATGATTAGGATAATCCTGTTTCTTAGGAGAAGACAAAAATGGACAGGAGAGAGAGAGAAGAAGGGAAGGAGATGTGTGAATACGTCACTTCACGCGGCAGTAGGCCTCTGCCAGCCATAGCATCTCCACCTGCACCGAAGAGAATTAAGCACTGTAGGCATGACATGGGAAAGAGCACGCTAAGGGCCTAGAAGACTTTCATGTCTAGAAAATAATCCTAGAATCTTCCTCTCTCTCAAAATCAAATAAGCATTTAAAAAAAATTAAAACATATATTAAATTGGGGGCACTTGGGTGGCTCAGTCGGTTAAGTGTCTGACTCGATCTGGGCTCAGGTTATGGTCGCACGGTTCCTGAACTCGAGCCCCACGTTGGGCTCTGCACAGACAGCGCTGCTCAGTGATCCATTCTGTGTGGCCGGCTTTAGATCTTCGCTCATTCGATACTTGTGTATAAATTAAGCGCCTACTCATACTAGGGACCGAGCAGAGAACCACAAACGTGCACAGAACCCTGGCTTGCGCTCCTTGGGCTGAAGGTTTAGTGAGCTACGACTGACGGCCCTGAACACCCCTCCACATGGTCTTTGCCGGGCCAGATAACGCCATCTGGTAGGCCTCGTCTTTGATCTGATAACCAGGTTTAAGCTAGCACAGCCCCATGCTTTCGTGAAATTTGCCAAGACATAGTCATCGCGTTCCGTTAGGTCTACTGAGCCATTCCTCTCCGCCTGCCTGTGTCAGGTGTTGCTGGAATGACCACAGGCCTCTGGGGCACCTGGTGGGGAACTCAGATGGGGCACACTATCCAGCTTGTGTTGACTGCTCCCAACAGGGAGCCACCGGGACTCAAGATGCAGCACACACGAATGAGAGACACGAACAGACGCGTTGCTTTCTTCTCTTAATGAGAAGCGCACGAAACAGGCTCTCAGAACATCTATGCTTGTAGGTAGACCTGTGGTAGCCCCGCAGACAGGTCTGAGAACGGAGCGAGAGTCCGGTGTCCCCGACTGCCTCAGGGAACCCCACGCAGTTCCTCCTGCACGAGTGTGACAGCCCACACCAAAGGCCGCACCATCACCAATGTGGTTCACCAGCCTGAGCACACAAGTGCTCAGGACAAAACCCTGCATGCTGACATCAGCGGGTCACAGAACAGGGCACGCAGATCGTGGAACTGCCCTGCTGAGCGCCGCAGCAGCAGCCTTGGCATGCATTTGCCTTGCCCCCGTTTCTGAATCTTTTCACCATTCCAGAACGCACACGAGGCAGGCTGGGGTTGCCTGGCAGAAGCCAGAAGTAAAAATGAGATGTGTGGTATTCATCCTCTTTAAAAATATCTAACTTGTGAATTTTTCCCTCTCAGTAAATATTCACTCTAATCTTGAATTATTTTTATTTATTAAAAAGCTTTTTCGTTAATGTTTGTTTTTGAGATAGAGCAGGGGAGAGGCGGGGGAAGGGGGAACAGAGGATCTGTCAGCGCAGAGCCCAATGCGGGCCTCGAACACATGAACTGCAAGATTGTGACCTGAGCCGAAGTCCGATGCTTAACCAACTGAGCCACCCAGGTGCCCCTTAAATAACTTTTATTAACGGCCTCTCCCTGCTCCTGTCTTGCCTTGAGGCCCCACAAACCTGCTCCCGAAGAGAACCCCTTCTCATCGTCCCAAGCAACGGAAATCTGCACTCCTGCCGTGGCTCCAGCACATCCGTTCCAGGAAGGCCTTTCCCTCCAGGACCAGAGGGGGTGATGCAAGCAAACAGAAGAGCAAACACTTCCGCAAGCTTGTCTGCATTGGGCGCGGCCTCTAAGCACATGGAGAACATGGATTGTCTCCCTTGAGCTCCCCAGGCCTTCCTTCTCCAGTGACGGAGGACGACACTCAGAGGCTCAGCCAGGACAAGTACCTTGCTCAGGGCCATGTGGCTAGGGAGCGGCAGAGGCGGCCTGGCCCTGGGGACTTGGCTTCTGGGACCAGGGTGCTTGAGTGCTTCCCCATAACAGCAGATGCCGCTGTGGGGGATGTAGCACATCCACGGCATGAATTCTTCACACCCGGTTTCCACACTCTGACACGTGATGTCCTGGTTTCTCCCACCGAAGAGCTGGGGCACACCCTACCACCCCTCTGAGCCTGGCTGCGGGGCTTGCTTTGGCAATGGAAGGTTAGCGGGGTGACATAATCAGCCATGTGGAAAAACACCTTTGTGTCCCAGTTTGTTCTCCTGTGTACCCACCAGGCTGCTGGTTCCAGAAGGAGGAGAAACACATGGAGCAGAGTATCATGGTCTATGCAATCATGAGCTAAAGAAATACTTTACCACACACTGAGATCTCACAGCTGCTTGTTACACAGCATAACCACGGCCACCACTAACTGATACAACCTGTGTCCTGACTGCAAATCGATCAGCTCTAGCTAGGCTGGCATGAAGTTACACACAAACAAATAATCAACCCCACAATTCATCAATGGCTTAAGAATTTGACCAACGGTAAGGATAATCTGATTTAAAAAAAAAACAGGCCATAGGTAAGTCAAAGACATGCTCCGTTCACTCAAAGACACGATTTATTCTGTTAAAGTCAAGCAGGACGACAAGACGAGAAGTACATGGTAAGTGTTGAGCATGAAGTAGGTCCACATCTTCCACGCGGGACTGCAGGATAAAAGCCACACGCAACGCCCCTGACTGAAATCTCGCTATACAGAGCATCCCACAGCCGTACTGTCAGAGGGGGAGGAATCGGCCGCCACCGAAGAGTGCTGCGGGGAAAACATTAGCACCAGGTTGTGGCTGTATGCAATGACACAGCTATACACAAAGATATGTACACTGACTCACGGGATCTTTGGGTCCCTGCTAACTAGACGTTGAGGGAGCAAACAGGGGGATGCCCAGGACAGTAGTTACATGTGCTTTGCTGCAAGGTGACAGAGGAATGTATATTGCTATGTATAAGAGAAAGTCTTCCAAAGACCTAAAGAGCTTGGGTATAGACACATACCTTCTGTTATTCACATTTTACAGATATATCACCAAAATGACCCACAATACTGTATTCGAAGGGAAAGACTCACAGATACACGCTTTGTCTAAATTAAAAGCAAAACACACTGAAATTACTGTGTTTGTCTCCCTGCGGGAGAATGACGGAGGTCCGTGGATGGCTGGCTTCGCCTCCTCTGAAGTGACCAGTTTTCACAGGAAGGGACCCCACCAGGACGGAGGGAGGACACTCCATTGGCAGGATGGGTTTTGTTGTTGTTTTTTCAAGTCAGAAATAGCTTAATTTAACAGGAATGGAAACTTCTGGAAGGGCATTGACCTTTCCGGCATGAGTGGGTTGCCAAAAAGAGGGTTTATTGCGTGCGTTCCTGAAGTGTGCCAGTTTGGCCCCCCCGTGGGGTGGAGAGATGTCAGGGCTGTGGCTCAGGGGTCCTGCTCCCCCAGGCTGGCTCATCAAGTACAGATGTCGGTCCGTTAAGACATTTGTGTGCACATGCGTTCTGGTAAGGCAGCGGTCCCCATGGACAGAGAGTCGTGCCCCCCACCTGTTGGAAAACTTTTATGGGAATGGGGAAACAAGGATCCAAATGATCCCTCGATCAAACGAATGTCTGAACATCACTTCAACGTGACATCGTCCAAAGGGCTGTCCTGCCATTTACCATGCGTTTAATCTGACGAGCGCCTGTGGAGGTGGCATCGGTGTAGGTTAAATGGAGTATACAACCAAGCCACTGGTGGCTGAACATCTTCCCAGCACACATCTTCATTGGTGTACCACCAAGTTATGCTTCTGGCCTGCGTACTAACCGGCCGTTGGTTCTCTCATGGTTGCCTTCTGGAAGTTCTTTATACGTTCCAGATACAGATCCTTTGTCAGATACGTGAGGCGCACATCTCTCCACCCAGTCTGTGGCTTGTCCACTGGTAACTGACAGCACGACGGGGTTTTTTTTTTAGCGAACAGGCTCTCGTGAGAAGCTTGCAATTTCCACTAATAAAAAGGGCATGGAATCTAAAACTCTGCGGCGGGAAAGATCGGGTTTGGGAGCTGTCGCAGTCCACGAGGCCTCTGAGAAAGCAGAGCAAAGGTTCTTACAAGTAAACGGGAAGTAACCCTGTTGCATGGTGCTTTATTCAAAGAGAGAAATGCAGCCCAGTGTCACTAACAACCATATGCACACAAAATAAGTGTTATGGAAAAATTTTCAGAAATACGCTGTTGGTCCCATGAAACAAATATCTACCGAGCATGTTACTACTACTGGACACACTATTACCCAAGGAATTTCATTTGCAGGGAAGGATCACTCCGACTGTGATGTCAGGACTAAGCTCCCGTGTTATGTGAGTGTTTGAAGCACGCACGCTATTTCTTTACGTGGCGATTTCAGGGCGCATGAGTCGTTCATTTCACAGTGGGTTTTTAGCCACTTGGAAACCATTCCCCTTTCCAAAATGTTAATAAATCATCATCACACCATCGTGGTTTTTGCTGGGAGACCATGAACGAGGGACGAGGAAGGGTCCACACCAGTGGACGAACGGGGTACATCGGGGCAGCCCAAGCCCCGCGGGAATCGCAGGCAAGATGGGAGCCAGGGTCTCCCCTCTCACGCACCTTCGAGACTCACTCGGGCTGCCTCCCGGGGGGGTGGTTCAGGATGTGAAGACGGGAGGAAGGGCACACCTACCAGTGAGAAGGACCACTTGCATGCACTATACGAGTGGAGCCCACAGTCTACACTGTGAGCTCCCACCACCCCCCGGAGGCTGGGGCCACGTGTGGGAACCTGCAAAGCAAAATGGCTGACGGGGAGACTTTCTGCTCAGCGTTCAAAGGGAGGCTGACAAACATTAAATAAATCCTCGCAAACACACATGGAGGTTATTGCTTCTCTAAAGCAGCCATCTCGCCCCTGGAGGACGCGCGCCGCGGGTATAAATACAGGCTGGGGTCTGGGCATGCGCCCGGATCGGAGCCCGGAGGGTCACCTATTTGCCCCTCTCGGGCTGCAGGCTGTCCCACAGGCACTTGAGCTGCTCTTCGCCCAGGCGGATCTTGTCTTCCAGCTCGCGCTGCTCAATGATGAGGGCGGACTTCATCTTCACGAAGTGCGTGTAGTCGGCCAGGCCCTCCTCGCTGAGGTAGCCGGCCAGGATGTCGAACACGACGCGTTCCCGGCGGTCCAGGTTCTCCTTCAGTTCCTTGGCGTCTTCGTGCTGCTGGGTGAGGACCCGCTGCTTCTCGAGCAGCGACTGCTGTGGAGAGAGAGAGAGACGAGCCCGGTGAGGACAGGGGCTCACCCTGCGGGCCAGGTCAGGGCAGACCCGGACGCCAAGCTAGGGACCAGAGGTGATGCTCGGGGCGTGGGCAGGATGCCCTTGGTGGCTGTGGCCAGCCCCAGCCCTTCCGTGACGGGTCCCGCCCCCTATTTCTTCCCACCGGCCCTGAGCGCCTCAGAGGAGCGGCCGTGGCCTTGAGTGGCTCAGAGGAGCAGCCACAAGAGGAGCTGTCCAAGGGCAGAGGCACGGATCCTAAAGAACTTGCAGAGCAGGGTCTGTGACCCCCCCATCTGCAGGAGGAAGTGCCCCGGGCGTGCTTGCAGGCCACGCGGGAGGGAGCAAGGACGGGCAGGTCAGACGCAGGCCACGGGGGAGGTTTCCCGACTCCTGACCAGGCTCCCGCTCGGGGGGCCACAGACAACCCCACTCCCAAAACGTGGCGCTCACAACCGCTCTCTCCCCACAAAACACACACGCAATGGTCCCTGCCGTCTAAGTTCAACGAGGGCTAAGAAAGGAAGAGATGAACGCATTAAGACTTCTAGTGTCGGCTGGGGGACGCCAGGCTCCTGTTTCCCGGTGTGACTTTCTCCTGGGCAGCAGGACCGCGGCTCTCATCCTGCCACTGTGTGGCGTGGCCACGAAAGTTACCAACAGCCACATGGGAGGCCAGCGTGCGGCGGCTCTCCGCAAAATGCCCGCACACAGAGCGCGCGCCGAAGCGAGTGGTCACCGTCCCGGAGCAGAAACTGGTGTTGGTGTGCGGCGTCCAGGACTGAGCCCCCCGTCAGGTCCCCTGCCCGCCCCTGCGCAACCCCGCCCTCTGTGTCATAGGCACAGATTCTCGCGGAAAGGAGAGGCAAAGTCGTCACGGCCCAAAGGGAAACGGATGTGAACGGACCCCAGAAGTGCGCTTTGGATTATTAAGGACAAGTCAGGCGGGTTCTCAGGGAAAGTTCTTAGTGATGATGGGCGGGAACAGACAAAACGATGTGAAAAGGAGCCCGCGGCTCTTCCGGAACGTCACAGCTGCCCCGTGGTCCCCTGACAACGCCTGTCAGGCCCCACCCACCCCCCGGCACCTGTCTCCCTCAGTTACCAGCCAAGAGAGGGACAGCCCTGGGCACCCAAAGGCGCCTGCACTATGGGGCGGACAGGCCGCCGCACGAACTGCGTAAGGCTTCAAGGCATCAACCCACGACACCCACGAGGAACCTCTTGATAGTCCCCCCACCGCTCCCCCCGCCCCCCTCACCCCCCCTCCCCTTTCAGGTCAGACACGTGGCATCTACCCGATCGCCAGGAGGAGTAGTGTCATCCAAGTTATTGAGGGCGTTTTCCACCCGCGCCAGCCGGCCCGACAGCGACAGCAGAAGGTTCACTACTTTGTCCAGGTCCCCAATGAACATCCGGAACTTGTCAAACTCGTTGGGTTTGCAGACGTCTTTGGCGATGGCGTCCACCTCGTCCCCCAGGGCGCTGTTGGCGCGGATGTCCTCCAGGAGGCTCTCCCGGGCTTCGCGGAGCACCTGCAGCTTGCGACTGATGCTCTCGATGAGCTCCTGCTGTGGGGACACAGGGGGCATGCAAACACGCGTTAGCTGACCCGGCCTGGCACTCCGGCCGCTGCCACGGGCCCTGGGGTCTCACACAAGTGACCTGCGTGGGGAAGACTTGATTTCGCATCGAGTGAGAGAGGGTTTCTAAGACCCGGGGCAGGAGAACTACTCCTGGTGAGTCCTGGTCACCACACAGTGATAGGTAGGACTTGGCCCCTCGGGGTGAAGCTCATTTCACTTTCACCTTCACCAGGATTCTCAGGGCCCACGTGAGAGTCTGTGCTTCCGAGCCTGCAATTTTCCAGTGTAAAGACTTACGTGCACAGAAGCTATGCAGCCTCACGCCTGGTACCGAACTGCATGACTAAAACGTATGCTCTACACAGAATTAGCCATTAAAAGGTAAAACAGATAAAGGGATGTCAGAAAAACTAAGTCTTTTGAGAGTAACCTGACTTGAATATGACCAAAATGCAAATAAGTCATTTTTTTCAAATATGGCAAGAAAGGGGCGTCTCTATTTTTTAATGTTTTATTTCTTTCTAAGAGAAAGAGAGAGAGAGAGAGAGAGAGAGAGAGAGAGCAGGGGAGGGTCAGAGAGAGAGGGAGACACAGAATCCGAAACAGGCTCCAGGCCCTGAGCTACCTGTCAGCACAGAGCGCGACGCAGGACTCGAACCCACCAACCGTGAGATCATGACCTGAGCCAAAGTCGGACACTTAACCGACTGAACCACCCAAGTGCCCCCCTTTCTCTCTCTCTCAAATAAAAAGATTTAAAAAAAATTTTTTTAATAAAATAAATATGGCAAGATATATGTAGCAAGGGTTATCATTTTACACATTCCCAAGCACACCCATTCTGTGGCATTAAGTGCATTCACCTTGTGGGCAATCATGACCACCGCCCATCTCCAGAACTTTCTCATGTTACGCAACTGAAACTCTGACCATTAAACACGAACTCCCCACTCTCCTTTTCCACAGGCCCTTTAAATGATTATCTTTTAAAGGGGCAAAAAAACCCAAACCCAAAACCAAAAAACCCGAAACATATAACTTGGCCTTCCTGCTGAAGTGAGGGGCACCATATGGTCCGATTTGAGTGGCAAAGATGGTCTGCCCCCCGTCTTATATTTGGGGAAAAGTAACAGGGATGGCTCTGCAGGGATACAACGGGTGGCCCTGCCCTGGCAAAACCACTGTGCACGGCAGAGCCGCCGGGTTGCTCGCACCCATGCAGGATCCTGCAGGCAGCCAACGTGACCCCCACGCGCCACTGGGCCAGCCCCACCCGGGAAGACAGCGCTCAGGCGCACAAACCAAAATGACGATTAAAGAGTCTCAACACTCACGTCCAGGTAGGATTTTTAGCTCTCTCTGCTGCAACAAGGAACAGCACGTATAGAAAGCGGCCTGGAGGAACTCCCCCACACCGTACCACGTGTCCTGGGCACTTTACACTCTCCCACCCCACTGGGAGCCAGCAGAGCCGGGTGGAGAGAAGTCAGTGCCCGGAGGGGGCAACGTCCTGTTAAGCTCTCCAGGACCATGACCTTGGCTACACAGGGGAGCAGGAGCGCGTACCCCCAGGACTGACATTAAAGCTGAAGGCAATCCCTGCACATGAAGCCCCGGCCCGGCGGCCTTCCGTAGGGACCCCGGACTCAGCAGGCGTCGGCAATACTGGGAGTGCGGCCTCAGAAGTGCCCTGGCTTAACAAAGAGCGGCATGGGGGCGCCGGCTGGTGGGGGGGGGGGGCGCGCAGTTGGGTAAGCACTTTGGCTCAGGTCATGATCTCAAGGTTTGTGGTTCCAGCCCCAAGCTGGGCTCTGTGCTGACAGCTGACAACATGGAGCCTGCTTCAGATTCTGTGTCTCCCTCTCTCTCTGCCCCTCCCTAGCTCCTCCTCTCTCTCTCTCTCTCTGAAAAATAAGTAAATAGTAAAAAAACACAAAAAAAACAAACAACACCTGTCCCAATGACAATGTAGGTGGGAAACATCACAGGGCGGCAGGAAAAGATACGCTGAACCACGAGCGCAGAGCCTATGCTGCATATGAGCTCCGGATGTGCCTCCTTTGTGTGCGGATGAGCCGCAGAGGGAGCCCCCCATCCAGCACTGATGCGTGTGCACGTGCACACATACACGAAACCAAGTCCACAGCCCAGAAAGGCGTGGGCACTGCTGGCTCCGGTTTCAGTCTGCTTGGGCTTATCAGAACGCTGGGTATTTGGTGATTAAAATGGCAAGTGGGTTTAGAGGAGAGGTGTCCTCACTGCGGACTTACCGGCATGGGTTTTCTCCTAACACAGGCAACACGCAACTTATAACCTGCTCTGGGCTTTCTCGACTCCGGTTCTGGCTCATCTTCCCTCGCTAACTGAAAGCTGCATGCACTCCATTTCTCTGATGCTCTCTCTCAGAGTGTGCAAGTCCGAACGTCCTGATGCTTGTGTCTCGGTGTGTCCGTCCACCTATCTATCCAGGGAGACGGTTTAAATCAACGTCGAATTCCCCGGCTAAGATGGGCCTTTGTTCAGATATTCGTAACTTGATGGGAAAGTGCAAAAGAGATTATGGGGGTGGAGAACCTTCCAAAGTCTTGCCTGCAGGCAACCGTAACCTGAACGAGCACATGAAGCAATCTAGAGGACTGTGGACGTGTGACGACAGGGCTGGCCTGGGCTACTGCTAAGTTTTCTGTCTCATCATTCTTTAGCAACGAGCATGATGAAGATTTCATGGCGATGCATGAAAACGAGCCTTTGAAACCTGCAGGAACAGCTGCGCAAACTTGACACTGGGCGTTCTGGAAGGAGCCCAAATTCCTGATTCCTTTATGTGTCTTGCATAAAGTTTTATTAGAGACGCCCTCCCCTCTTCCTTAAAGCGCCAGGCACTGATTGCCAAAGATCTTGGGAGGAGGCCTGGCCCAGGCAGCACACAGGTCGCTCATGAGCAGCACCCGCCCGGTCAGACGGCCCCCACGGGGGCCCATCCGCCTCCGCTCTGCAGCATGTGGCCTTCAAGAGGGCCTGGGGCGAGAGCGCGTGGTGGCAGAGGCCAGCCGCCCCACCCCCACCTGGGTCTCCCAGCAGGTGCACTGCCTGCTCTGTTCCGATGGCCCCACAGCTCGTCTGTCCACCTATCTATCTGGGGAGACGGACGGATGGAGGGGGGAATGGGGACTTTTCTCTCTGGGCCTCGTGCCCACCTCTAAGTTCCAGAGAGGAACCACAGCCCTCCGACTTTGACCATGGAGCGTCCGGCTCTGCTGAGGAGCCCCCTACCTGAGTAGGGGCGCTTTCTGGGCAGACTGGGCCTGAGCCGCCTCGGGTGTAAAAACGTGCTTGGCCTTCCTGGCGTAATGCTTCCAACCGGCCACCAGAAGTCGCTCCTGCGTTCCTGTGTCCTCAGTCCTCTCCTAAAACCCAGGGCCACCTGATCTGACACTCGGGCTCCTGGAGCATGCAGCGACGCTGTGACATGACAGCCAAGGTCCCTCTGGGAATGTGTGGTCCACATGGGATCTGGGGCCCAGCTGCTCTCCCGTGACGGCCCATCAGGCACACCCTCAGGCATGGACCTCCTCCCCCACCCCTGGTGCACACTTTGCACAACCACAGGACAGTGTATTTGTGGGTACTGGGAAGAAGGCTGAAAAGACAGGGTACCAGTTGTCTGTCAAAGTAAGATGAAAAGCAGGATTACGGAGTCACTAACAGCACAGAGAACTGTGACTTACAGCATTCGCCGTTTACGGTGAAACTGCTCAACATTTGCATATGGAATAAAATACGTTAGTTGGGTTAAGAATTTTTTTTTTTAAATGTTTTATTTATTTCTAGGAGAGAGAGAGAGAGAGAGACAGTGTGAGCAGGGGAGGGTCAGAGAGAGAGGGAGTCACAGACTGAAACAGGCTCCAGGCTCTGAGCTGGCAGTCAGCACAGAGCCCGACGCGGGGCTCGAACCCACGAACCGCGAGATCATGACCTAAGCGAAAGTCGGACCCTTAACCGACTAAGCCACCCAGGCTCCCTGGTTGGGTTAAGAATTTAATCATGGGAGGGTGCCTGGGTGGCTCAGCCGGTTGACAGTCCGACTTCGGCTCAGGTCATGATCTCCTAGTTTGTGAGTTCGAGCCCCACACTGGGCTCTGTGCTGACAGCTCAGAGCCTGTTTCAGATCCTCTGTCCACCTCTCTCACTGCCCCTCCCGCCCCCCTAATAAATAAACATTAAAACAAGAATTTCATCATGCGGAGTGGGCGGGGGTGGGGGGTGGGGGCGGCTGTCAGGAGCTGAGTTCACAGGGATTCATCTCAATCCCGAAGCAGCCGTCTGAGGTGAGGCGGTACCCCAGCAACCTGAGCCCCCCAAAAGCAGAAAGAAAAAAGAGCCACCCACCTGAAGGCAGGGAAGTACTGGGGCGTGCCCCACCCCAAATCCGTCACAGCATGAGGAACAAGGCCATGTTGTAAAGAACACGGTTATCCATAGTTAGGGCGAGGACTGAGTTAAAACTGTCCAAACTGTACCTTTTTCCCAGTTTTATGAGAATACCTAAAAGCATTTCTGATTGTTTATTTGGAAAAAAAAAATGCAGGGTGCCTGGATGGCTCAGTTGGTTAAGTGTCCGGCTTCGGCTCAGGTCATGATCTTGCAGTTCCTGAGTTCAAGTCCTGCATCAGGCTCTGCTGACAGCCAGCTCAGAGCCTGGAGCCTGCTTCGGATTCTGTGTTTCCCTCTCTCTCTTACCCTCCCCTGCTCACGCTGCCTCTCTCTCTTTCAGAAATAAAGAAAACATTAAAACAAAGTTAAAAAAAGAAAAAAAAGAAACGCGGGGCACCTGGGTGGCTCAATCGGCTACGCATCCGACTTCAGCTCAGGGCATGATCGCGCGGTTTACGGGTTTGAGCCCTGCATTGGGCTCTGTGCTGACAGCTTGGAGCCTGGAGCCTGCTTCAGATTCTGTGTCTCCCTCTCTCTCTGCCTCTGCCCTGTTCATATTCTGTCTGTCTGTCTCTCAAAAATAAACATTAAAAAAGAAAGAAAGAAAGAAAGAAAAGAAAGAAAGAAAGAAAGAAAGAAAGAAAGAAAGAAAGAAAGAAAAGACAGAAAGAAAGAAAAAAGAAAAAAATAGAAAATGCGACTGGAAGCCAGACAGAGGCCCAGGACCAAAATTCTTAGCTCTCATCTCCTTTAATCCCCTTGAACCAAAAAGCAAATATTCCCCAAGCTGAAAGTAATTTTCTTTTCTGCATGGGTCACATTATTTCTTCTATCATATCAGAAATCAGCCAGTGGTGTTTGCAAACCACTAATGATACAAGCGTAATCTTTTGGGAAGGTTTTTGTTAAAGGATAAAAAAAAGTGTTTTTCTATGAAAGCAGTTTTCTGAAGTACTAAGCATATGGCAATGTTCACACAAGGCTGCTTCCCTCCTTTTCTTTCCCTGGTACTATTTAGACGGGCTCGAAGCCGCGGCACGAACAGCACACGTTAGCCTCTGAAACGGACTTTGTTTGGCAATTCCTCCTCCGTTAGATGCGAAGGCCTTCCTAAAAAACCAGGTAATCACCCAGACGCCGCAGGTCTGGCATGCTGACAAATCATGGGGATTTAAGTATTTAATACTAGTGTGTTAAAGACTAATTCAGCAGTAATGACGTTGGCACTGGCAGCCGTGACCTCGTGACCACCCACTATTGGGTCCCTGGCCGCATTCTGACTTCATCTGCAGTCCTGCACCCCTGTCCACATGGCTCCAGCCAAAGCCATACTGTGTCTCCAGTCTGTCGTGAGGCCATCACCTCAGGACCTTAGCACTGGCTGCTCCCCTTCCCCCAGTGCACCCGGACGCCCACACGGCTCGCCCTTCACACCGGTCCAGGTCACTGCTCCATCATCCCCTCACCAGCGCCCTCTCTAGCATCACCTTCGTGTCACTCGATCCCTTGGCTTGCGTTAATTCTCTCACTATCCAACGCACTACACTGAGGGCTGGCCAACTTTCCATGAAGGGGCAGACAGGGAAGGCCTTCGGCGTTCCGGGCCACGTGGTCAGCCGCACCTACCCCGCCCCGCTGCCGTGGGGGCAAGACCACCAGAGAGCATCTATAAATGACTAAACGTGCCTGTGTTTCACGGAAACTTCATTCACAAAGCCAGCGCGCGCCCACAGGCTGGAGTGCGCTGACCCTGGAGGGCGCGTTTGTTTCTCTGTTGGCTGAACAGAGGCGCCCCTCGGGACAGGAAGGGCTCCGTTCCGTTTCGTCTCCTGCCGTATCCCTAAGTCCCCGGGGAGTTCTAGGAGGTAACAAACGATGGCTTTTTTGTGGACGAAGCACTTGACAACCGCTATGTCAGGACTATGACCTTCTGGCTACAGGTATCAGAACTTGACCTTCAAGGAGAACATGTAACTTGCAGAAGGTCACATAATGAAGTCCCCAGGAGTTTAACTAGAGTGGGAGGGACGTATTACTTGAACTCCAGTTGAATAAGGATGGTGCCCACTGCCCATGACACTGGTCTTATTATAGGAAGATGGCAAAGAGACCTGGCTGGGAAAGGCCCCATTTTGGAACAGAACACTAAACCACAAAGGGCTTGTCACCATGGTCCCAAATGTCACTGTCCTGCACAGAAGCCGGACACAAATGCCCCTGGTCGTGAGGGACACGGCCCACCCCGGGCCCAGAACGACGTGTGGCGCCTTGTCTGCCAACGAGCACGATGTCATTACCAAGGGCTTTTCCTACCTTCTTCACTGCCAGGTTGTGGTCCAAGTCGCTCCCCGAATACTCCTCTGGCTCCTGCGCCTCCTGCAGATCCTTCATCTTAATCAGCAGCTCCGCCTTGGGGACCGATGTGCTGTAGTACGTAGAGTTGGTGGCAAGGGACATGGCTGCCGGCACGCTCGGCTCCTCTTTCCTACATAAAAAGGTCAGAACGCCACCTGGCTGGGACTGTGCGCATAGATGCCCCCCTGCAGCCCCCAGCCTCGATGGTGACGAGCAGATGGTGCCACTGACCAAAAGACATCGGACACCGGGATGGGACCGCCGAAGGGGCGGAGGGGCAGGGGACAATGTTAGAGCGAGAAAAAATCTGGCCAAAAGGGAATCCTCAAGTCTATGGAATAGTTTTTTAAAAGCGGGGGTGGCGTAAGGGGGAGTGAAATGAGCAGGGACATCTAAAAATCCCCCCCCAGGAGGGAAGAGTGCACAGGAATGGTCTTCGCCAGGAGCCTAAGGTCTGCGCGTGCGCAACTCCCTGTAGGGGGAGCCAGAAGACCCCAAATGCGACGGGCGCCTTTCCACCTGCAGCCATGTCTGTCCCTCTTGCTCTGATCCGACCGGGCCCTCTGTCCCTCTCTGCCGTGTCTCGTGGGCGCCCCCACCTACTGGCAGGTAACGTGTCAGAGACAACGGACATAAGTACAGGCCTGTGCAGCAGCCCACGGAGTGAGGGAGGCTGCATAGTACGTTCCCCCGACGTACGGAAACGCAGCTGTTCCCTCCGTGCCACGAGCAGGAGCAGAGAGGCTCCTTGATGACCGTGACGTTCAAGAGACTTCACGACTGGCATCTGGCGGCCAAGGTGTTGGGCCGCCTCCTGGTCTCCACCCGTGGGATGCCAGGAACACCTGGCGGGGCGACAACTAAAAATGTATCTGGACGTTGCCAAGCGTCCCTGGAGGAGCTTGGGCACCGCAGAAGTGCGTGATCCTCTGGTCTTTGCCAGGCCCCGGAGTCAGCATCCCCAGGAACGGGCCTTGGCGGCACTCTCGGGAGGGTCCCGAACCTCGGGAGGGCCAGAACGTGCTAAGGGCTGGGCAGTGCCTATGAAAACCTGCCCCTAAAAGCAATCAGGAAAACAGACGCACAGAGAAGCCACTTGCTCTCTGGGGCATACAAGATGCTCAGAGGGAGAAGCACGCAGAGCAGCCACAGGGCGGGTTTGCGGCGGCGCCTACTCACTTCTCCTCGGCGGTCCCAGGGGACGGGATTCTGGGGAGCAGCTTCCTCCGCTGCTGGGCTTCCTCCAGGAGGTGCTCGTCTTTGGGGAAGATGCCCTCCATCAGGTCCATGGTGGTTCTGATCTTCACGCCGGGGTCCAGGATGTCGGCCAGAGACTTATCCTTCCCCACGATCTCCCGGGCCAGCTCTTCCGACTTCAGGTCCTCGGCCGTCTTCTCCGTGGTCTTCACGTAGCTGAGTCCGCACGGAGAGGCCCCAGCGTCCTTGGCGGCGGGGGCCGGGGGCGGCGGCTCGGCACCCTGGCGGCTGTACACGCAGAAGCGGGAGTAGAACTGCTCCGACGTGCTGAGACTCTTGATGTGGTCCTTCTCCAGCCCGCTGGGCAGCGCGGGCGGCTCGGTGGCGCGGGCCGGGCCCTGGCGGCTCTCCTTGTCCGGCTGGCTCTCCGAGTGCACGATCTTGACGGGCACCATCTTCACCGTGGTGTTGTTGTCCATCACCCGCTCGATTCTGGAAAGGGAAGAGCCGTGTGCCGAAAACACGTCGTGCCGTCGACCCCGACCCGGGACACAAACCCGCAGGCCCCGCCCCCCCGCCCCTTCCCGCTGGGGAAGCCAGGCTCAGAGCCCTTTGGCCGCGGCTCGGGAAGGAGTCCCCGTGACCACGGACCCAGGACGGGGAGGGGAGGTCGGGAGGGCCTGGTTTCGGGACCCCAAGTGGCTGGGCGCCTTTCCACTTTCCAAATCACCCACACCCCTACCGGAGCCTGGGGTGTGTCCCCGGGCTCGGTGGCTGAGAGGAGGATGGGTTAGCACCCATCTTCAGGTTGAGGGTGCAAATGTCAGCAAGCCCTGCTCAGTTACACTCTCGCTGTCCAGGAGCCTGCGACACACGGTTCCCCTCACAGACCTCTCCTTGCGGCCTCCCATCGTGGCCTCTCAGAGCAGGGCCGTGTACACCCACAGGCGCCAGCGTGGTTCTGGGGCCGCCGGAAGACTTCCAGAAAGAGCGGCTATGTTGTTGTGGTTTTTATGTTTACTTCTATTTGAGAGAGAGAATGTAAGCGGTGCAGGGGCAGAGAGAGGGGGTAGAGGGTCCAGTCTGCAGTTTAAGCAAAGAACTCCCAGACATGTGGTAGATATGGAAAAGTAAGCTACCTAGTTTTAGGACAGGAGTTGAAGTGCTCGTTTGGGAGGGATGCCTGTTCCGAAGTGCCGCGCCTCCTCTCTCTGCCTTCCTGCTGTGAGCTCAGTGCCTGGCGCACGGGGGCAGCTCCGCGGCCGCGTGAAGCGGGGAGCCCACCCTGCACCCTGGCTGGCGCCCCAGCAGGCAGGGGTGTGTGCACTCATGGCCAAGGGAGTGGCTGGAAGGAGGGAGAGACCGGACACGGAGGGAGAGGAGGTGAGCAGCTCGTGCTCAAGAGACCAAAGTCAGCAGAGAGCAGGGCAATCTCTTTCACGTTTTTATTTATTTTTAAAATTATTTTTGTTAGTGTTTATCATTAAGAGAGAGAGAGAAACAGAGACTGAGCATGAGCAGGGGAGGGGCAGAAAGGGAGACACAGAATCCGAAGCAGGCTCCAGGCTCCGAACTGTCGGCGCAGAGCCCGGTGCGGGACTCGGACTCATGAGCCGTGAGATCAAGACCTGAGCTGAAGTAGAACGCTTAACCGACTGTCCCACTGAGGTGCCACTTTCTTTTCAACTTTTAAATGTTTATTTTTGTGAGTGGGGGAGGGCAGAGGGACGGAGACAGGACGGAACAGGCACCATGCCTTCAGTGCAAATGTCAGCCCCGACGTGAGGCTCAAAATCGCGCACTGTGAGGTCGTGACCTGAGCTAAAGCTGACCCATCGGTAGTTGACTGTGGACACAGAACAGGGCCAGGACCCCCGCACCCGCTTCTTGTTCGTCTCTTAGGTCGCGGGGATCGCACACGTTAGTACCAGGACTGACCAACAGCACACTCCGTGGGAACGGTGGCTAAGGCAGTATACTATGAGCGACGTTCTTGGTGGCAGCTTTTGGAGGCGGCATGGCCACCATGTGCCTCCCTGAGAAGGAACATTAGTGGGAACACTAATGTGGGTGCCCGGAGACACCCCCCCACCCCCCTCACCCCCAGCCAATCTTCAATAAGTGCCGTCCCTACTTGTTGAAATCCCTCTCAAGCTCACGCGAAAGACAGGATGAGAAAACCAACACTTGCTTCGGGCAAGAAAAAAATGAAACACAGTCCCGACTTCCTGAGCTGACACAGGTCACGAGGACTGTGGGAAGGGCTGTGTTTCTCTGAGGAGCCCATGGAGCTCAGGCGGGCTCCCGGGAAGCCGGTGGCCTGAGGGGCCCGTGCCGGCCTGCCCCAGACAGCGTGGTACACTTGGCCCAGCACACAGCCCACGTGACTGCTTCTCCTTCCTTTCAGCACGAACAGCGCTGCCTCCCGACAGGTCACCTAAGTGGTGCCCACAGTCCGCATGACACAGCAAACGCGGCCCCCACGAGAGGCTGTGGTTATGAGGCCACACTTGCGGAGATACAGGATGAAGAGTATCCTCTCTGCCCAGTTACTTTGAAGGCGACAAAAAAAGGACAGGGCCGCCTGGGCGGCTCATTTGGTTAAACGCCTGACTCTTGATGTCGGCTCAGGACCTGGTCTCTCAGTTCTTGAGTTTGGGCCCCGCATCGGGCTCTATGCTGACAGCGTGGAGCCTGCTTGGGGTTCTCTCTCCCTCTCTCTGAGCCCCTCCCCTGCTCATGCTCTCTGTTTCTCAAAATAAATCAACTTAAAACAATAGAGAAAGAGACAACAGCTTGAGACTCTAGAACACGAATGTCCACAGAACTTTCTGGGATGATGGAAATAAATGGTACATATGTGTGCCATTAGCCACACATGGTGGACGCAATTTGTTTTATTATTCATTAGCTTCCATTTCTACGGACACATGACTGTGGCCAGCAGCCAGTGACTGCCGGCTACTGTATTCGACTCAGGGCCAGCGCATTCCCTGCTGCAGGGCTGACCCGGGCACCCCGGCCTCTGCCTGCGGGGTGCCAGCAGCAACGCTGGCTCTTCAGGTGGGGCCCCCAAACCTCTCCAGACACGTTCAAATGTCCCCTGGGAGCAAGTCCCTCCCCCCTCCCTGGTGGACAACCACGGCCCTAGAGAACAAGATGGACATTCTGCACTTCTGCCTCTCAGTTCTTCCAAGGCACTCTGAGGAGAGGGCGGAGGGAAAGTCAGCGCTGGGGGCTGGTCGGGACCCGCCTGCCCACATTTACCAGCGTCTCCGCGGGCACCGCAGACAGATCCACGCCTGAAAGTCTAACAGCACACCATGGAACAGAACGGACTCTCCTCTGCTTTAGTAAGAGGTGCGTGCCAGCTTGCCTTTCACGTGTGACATAGAAAAAAGTGGGGTGGGGGCGACTGGGTGGCTGGATCCGTTAAGCGTCCAACTCTCCATTCTGACTCAGGTCTGATCCCCCGGTTTGGCAGCTGAGCCCGCCTGAGCCGCCTGGGAGTCCTGGATGGGGCTCTGCAGTGACAGTGCAGAGCTGGCCTGGGATGCTCTCTCTCCCTCTCCCTCTGCCCCTCCTCTGCTCGCTCGCTCTCTCAAAAATAAAAACGTAAACTTAAAAAGCATGAAATACTGGACTTTATGGAAACCAGCAGTGTCTCCTGAAGGTGGCTGGCGTAGTTTCACCGGGTTCTCCTCACAGACAAGGGCCCTAGAGGCAGATACCCACGGGGAAGGCACACGCCACCTCCGGGCTTGGACGACAGTCCCCCCCTGCATCACATCCCCCTTGCGCCTGGAGAACAGGCCACCCCCCCGCCGAGGTAAAAACCCGCGAGACCACTGGAGCCGTGGGTTCTCCCGGGCGGTCCCTCCCCAGGTGCAACTTGAGGTCCAGACGCCCACCGCGCAGCACGCGGAGACACGCACGGACCCGCCGCCCGCGGGAGCCCGTGGAAGGGCAGGCGCGGGGGCCGCCGTCCCAGGGCCGTCCGTACCTGGTGGCGTTCTCGTCCTGGACGGGCAGCGGAGGTCGGTCGGTCAGCTTCTGTGGGGCGAACTGAGGAGAAGGGGAGCGGGACGTCTCCATGGTGGGGGCGTGCGGGGGCCGGAGCGCCGATGGGAGCGGGGCCTCGCGCCTCGGCGGGGCGGGGGGCTCGTCTACATGGCGGCCGGGCTGCTCGGCGGGGGCCCCGGAGGACGGCGGGGGCCCGCGGGGACCCCCCGGCTGCCCGGGCTCACGCGGGGGTGGCGGGGGCGGTGGCCTCCGAGGGGCTGGGCGCGGGGCGCCGGGCGCGGGGCTCAGGGTCCCGGGCTCCGGGCCTCGGGCGTGCGGCCCCGACGGCGCGTCCGGCGCCCCCTCAGCGTATCTGTAGTCTCGAGGGAGGGTCCCCGCTCGGCTGCGCGCCTCCCGGGCGGGGGACGGAGAGGCGGCCGGCTTCGGGGAGTCCCGCTGTCCTGCCGCTCCGCCTGCTGGCCGCTGCACATCCGCTTGTCTGCAGGGAGACAGTGTAGAAGTGAGCGACGGTGCCAAACCACGGCTGCCACACGGGACTCGAGCCCCATCTCCCGAACCTTCTAAAATCGTTTTATCGAACCAAGGCCACACACGTTTTCCCATATCCGTCTCCACCACCATTCGACCCCAAGGTACGCGGTCCCGGCAGACACTGGACAACATGCGGCCGCGTGTCAGTATGTCGTTTACAGGACAGGGAGTATTAAAAACACACGCACTTGCACACGCAAGGTGCATTCTGGGGCAAGAAAATGTACACTTTATTTATTTATAAAGGTTCAGACCTTTAAAACGTTTTTTAATGTTCAGTTTTGAGAGAGAGAAAGAGAGACAGAGACAGCATGTGGAAGAGGGGCAGAGAGAGAGGGGGGGTACACAGAATCCGAAGCAGGCTCCAGGCTCTGAGCTGTCAGCACAGAGCCCGATGTAGGGCTAGCACTTGTGAACCACGAGATCATGACCTGAGCTGAAGTCAGACACTCAACCAGCTGAGCCACCCAGGTGCCTCTTTATCCATTTTTGAAACAGCACTGCTGCGGGAGGTGGGGCAGGGTGGGCCTCGCCCACATGGGGACAATGTGCCGGCTATAAACGCCCCAGCCAGGACAGCCAGCTCTGCTGCACAACTGGGGACACTCAACTGCTCTCGACACCTGGCCCAGCTTCTTTCAAAATGTCTAGTGTTCACGAAGTTCTCTGTAAGCTCAGCTTGGAGGGTTATCGCTCCATGCTCCCAAGCATGTACGGGTAGGTCAAAGCGTACACCAATTTTGATGCTGAGCGTGATGCTCTGAACATTGAAACGGCCATCAAGGCCAAAGGTGTGGATGAGGTCACCATTGTCACCATTTTGACCAATCGCAGCAATGAACAGAGACAGGATATGGCCTTTGCCTACCAGAGCAGGACCAAGAAGGAACTTGCATCAGCACGGAAGTCGGCCTTGTCCAGCCACCTGGAGACCGGGATTTGGGGCCTCTTGAAAACACCTGCTCAGTAAGATGCTTCTGAGCTGAGAGCCTCTATGAAGGGCCTGGGGACCGATGAGGACTCCCTCATTGAGATCACCTGCTCAAGGACCCACCAAGAGCTTCAGGAAATTAACAGAGTCTACAAGGAAATGTACAAGACCGATCTGGAGAAGGACATCATTTCTTTTTTTTTTTTTTATTTCTAGGAGAGAGAGAGAGAGAGACAGCGTGAGTAGGGGAGGGTCAGAGAGAGAGGGAGACACAGACTCTGAAACAGCCTCCAGGCTCTGAGCTGGCAGTCAGCACAGAGCCCGATGCGGGGCTCGAACCCACGAACCGCGAGATCATGACCTAAGCGAAAGTCGGACGCTCAACAGACCAAGCCACCCAGGTGCCCCAAAGGACATCATTTCTGACACATCTGGTGACTTCCGCAAGCTGATGGCTGTCCTTGCCAAGGGTAGAAGAGCGGAGGATGGCTCCGTCATTGATTATGAACTGATTGACCAAGATGCCTGGGATCTCTACGATGCCGGAGTGAAGAGGGAAGGAACTGATGTGCCCAAGTGGATCGGCATCGTGACCGAGCAGAGCGTGGGTCACCTCCAGAAAGTGGTTGAGGGGTACAAGAGCTACCGCACTTATGACATGCTGGAGAGCATCAAGAAGGAGGTCCAAGGAGACCTGGGAAATGCCTTCCTGAACCTGGTCCAGGGCATCCAGAACAAGCCCCTGTATTTTGCTGACCGGACGTACGACTCTGTGAAGGGCAAGGGGACTCGCAATAAAGTCCTGAATAGAATCATGGTCTCTCGCGGTGAAGTGGACATGTTGAAAATGAGGTCTGAGTTCAAGAGGAAGTATGGCAAGGCACGAAGGGCGACTGCCGGAAAGCGCTGCTGTACCTGTGTGGTGGGGGTGACTGAGCCCCCGAGCGTCGGGAGTGCTGTTCCTTTGTTTCCAGCTAGCAGTTCTAGAAAACAGCTGTGACTAACAGTCCCCTTATGGCCATCCCCGCAAGGATGACGTTAGCATTGCCCCTCCCCATCTTTATTTCAGTTGCCTAAGCATTGCCTGCTTCTCATGTCTCGTCTCTTTAGCCAAAGAAATGAACACTGCAAGGAGTTGGAAGTGAGGTCTATGATGTGAAACGCTGCTCTTGTGTACTGTGTCATAAACAGGAATAAATGGAATTTTCACTTTATAAAAAAATAAATAAGAACAGCAGTGGTGAAAATTCTCATATGGCTGTATTCAGAAATATTCATTTCTGATGTAATGGTATATGTGGCTTACTTAGGAAAATTGCCGTTTACAAAAAGGCATGGAGGGGCATCTGGGTGGCTCAGTCGGTTAAGTGTCCGACTTCGGCTCAGGTCATGATCTCACAGTTCGTGGGTTCGAGCCCCGCGTCGGGCTCTGTGCTGACAGCTCAGAGCCTGGAGCCTGCTTCTGATTCTGTGTCTCCCTCTCTCTGACCCTCCCCTGCTCACACTGTCTCTCTCTCTCAGAAATAAATAAAACATTAAAAAAAAAAAAAGGCATAGAACATGAGGCTCAATGTACGAATAAAATCTTTAAAATCAGTAGTATATCATTTTTTCCCTAAAGTTTTAAAAAGTTTTATTTATTTATTTTGAGAGAGACAGAGACAGTGTGAGTAGGGAAGGGGCAGAGAGAGAGAGAGGTAGGAAGAGAGGATCCCAAGCAAGCTCTACACCGTCTGCACAGAACCTGATGTGGGGCTTGAACTCACAAAGCCCTGAGATCGTGCCCTGAGCCAAAACGAAGAGTCAGACACTTAACCTATAGAGCCAGCCAGGCGCCCCAATCAGTAGTAAATTATTAAAAAGGAGAAAAACATGGGGCACCTGGGGGGCTCAGCTGGTTGACCATCCGACCCTTGATTCCTTGATTCCTTGATTTTGGCTCAAATTGTGATCTCAGGTTCGTGGGATCGGGCTCCATGTTGGGCTCTGTGCTGAGTCTGGAGTCTTCTAAAGAGTTTCTCTTTCGCTCTCTCCCTCTGCCCCTCTCTCCCAGTCATTCTCTCTCTCTAAAATAAAATTTAGGGGCGCCTGGGTGGCTCAGTTGGTTATGCGTCCGATTGGCTAAGGTCATGATCTCGCGGTTTGTGGGTTCGAGCCCCGTGTGGGGCTCTGTGCTGACAGCTAGCTCAGAGCCTGGAGCCTGTTTCAGATTCTGTGTCTCCCTCTGTCTCTGACCCTCCCCTGCTCATGATCTCTTTCTCTCTCTCTCAGAAATAAATAAAATTTAAAACAAAAGAGACAGAGACTTTGGGTGCTGCAGTGGTTCACAGGTCTTTCCATATGGCTGCCTGTTTCCAGTTCTCCCTGCACATTCGATGTACACACGCATGTGCTCATGATGCACAGCCACACTCAGAAAGGTCCCCACGAAACACTGCCACAGGCACGCTGCACAAGCCTGCGGAGCTGCGCTGCAAGCAAGCAACGCTCCCGGCTGACAACTATCAAATGTGCGGCAAAGCAGCCCTGTGACTCTGCCGACACTTTCTTCCAACCTGACCCAGGACTAAAAGGAGCCTCTGATGGACCGTTCCCTTCAGGGAAGAGCAAGGCTGCATGGAGGAGATCGCCGCCTAGTTGTTGGAGGAAACTCTAACAAGGGCGGCACAGGGGGGAGCAGAAGACAGAGCACCGGAGCCCATGAGTGATGTACTCTTCTAACAAACTAGGCAAGGCTTTCCCCCATCCCTGCACCCCCTCAGGGCCTCCCGGGCCGTGATGCCGGGCCTGGGGGTTACCGATGCCCAACCCCAGCCAGGCTGCTGCACGGCAAGGTCCAGGGCCCACTGCACGTCCCTCTGGCCGTGTCCCGGGGGAAAGGGCCCCTCCAGGTTCAGCAGATGCTCTTGAGTAGAACCCAGAGCATGCCCAAATTCCCTGCCCTTGCCTTGGCCGGCCCGCGCCCCCCACTCCGCCCTGCCCCCACGTGCTGCCGTGTGCGCAGCCACACACAGCTGGACGCCGTCCACATCTGGAAGAAGACGGAGAAGCTCGGGTCCCACCGGGGCCCTGAGAGAGGGCAGGTGTGTTCCCGCTTTCAAGAAGCTGAAGACACCATCTTGGCTTAGTAGATGCACAGTGGCGAAACAGCCAAGCAAAAGAGCTTCAAATATTAACCCCGCCTCGGGGAGTTAGAGAGTTAAGGAAAAAATACATGTTAGGTACACACTAAAAAACCCAGAAGTTTTCAACATAACTTTTTAATTAAAAAAATTTATAAATGTTTATTTTTGAGAGAGAGAGAAAAACAGAGCGAGAGCTGGGGAGGGAGACACAGAATCTGCAGCAGGTTCCAGGCTCCGAGCTGTCAGCACAGAGCTGGACATGGGGCTCAAACTCACGGACCATGAGATCATGACCTGAGCTGAAGTCGTACAGCTAATAACCGCCTGAGCCGCCCCCCCCCCGGCGCCCCCAAAATAAATGGAACATAGCGACGACAGATGCTTCCAGAGCATACAGTCACGCAGCTGTTTGGTTTCCGAATGGCATTTAAACCCTGTCAACCGGACACCGCGTTCTGAACAGCTGCAGTCACGCCTCCCGCATCCATCACGCACTAACAGGTCCTCCGGTTAGTGGAGGAGCGCGTGCCTTCGTGTCGCCCTTCCATCTATGCCACCGCGCCTCCTTCTTCAGACCCGGGAAACCTCCTCCATGACAACTCACAAATGCCTCCCCACCATTTCCTTCCAACGACGGAGCCGCGCCCGGAAGGCCCCTGCTGCCAGGCCCGGACCCGGGAACTACAGGCCGCATGTGGTACCCGGTACCCGCTCCGTACCCGGCCACTCCCAGAAACGGAGAGTTAGCCACCATTTACTGCTTCCGTCTAAGTGCTTCTGGCCATCTGGATTCACACTGAACGTGGGGGCTGGAGGGGAGCTCGGTGTGCAAAGCGCCTGTGACACCGACGTGCTCCAGAGCCGGCCGGAAAGAGGGGGCGCGCCCGTGTG